AAAAAAAGTAGCAAATAAGAGATTGTACGAGTTTGCCCTCTGTAACAGTCTGGTATGTCCTACATGAGCGTACTATTCGTTGCGTCCTAACGCTGGACTTGGATAGTGCGGTCCCAACAAGGTCGGCATAGCACGGCCACTTTGGGTGTGAATGTCAACCAGACGGGTTTTAGAGCCCCTATTATGCCCCGTTTATACCGTTTTTCGGCCCGACAACGTGCCATGTGCTATTCTTGGGCCACACTTCATACTACGAGAAAATTTCAGGAACCATTTTTGTCGTGAACTGTGCCTTCAAAGGGGTTTGCTCAGTTTCAGTGATCTAGGCATGTCTGGCTTACTGATACTACGATAAAAAAAGGGAATATCCATCTTCTACCGGAGAATGATTCAGAAGGCACCGAAATCGTAGTAACATTTGAAATGCGTCTCAAACTTATACAATGAGTTGCGATGGCCAGCCAATGTGCAAGTCAGTAAGGCTCTCAAACGAGGCTGGCAGCATCAGCCGACTCATGAGTAAAGAAATATTTTGCTGATTCAGGGCGGTACCTATACGGGATTTAAACCCAGCAGCATCTTAAGTCGCTCTTCTTACTATTGCGACTTAGTTGACCAAGAAAGGCTCACTTCACTGTTATATCGATTTCAGACAGATCGAAGTTGATAGGATGTGTCCCAAGAACTCCGATAAGTGTTACAACGTGCGATTAGGAAAGATGATTTTGAGGTGGGTTGATTCCGTTCATTTCGCACTCATTGTTCACATACTTTCTAGTTCTAGCAAAAGGCATAGTTTGAGCAAATCGGGAGCATCCAGTTTGAGACGAGTAATAGAAGTGATAGCTTGGAATAGTGAAAAAGTGCAAGTGTGAGTGAGAAGGAAACGCGGAAATCTGCCGCATTTGAAGCATTGTGAGGCTTCAGCAAGTAGTCAAAAGGGGCTGGACGAGAATGTGAGGAAAGCGTTGCGTAGGGGTGGCATTTGAAGGGGTGTTCCAAATGTGCGTTCCATTTGGCACAGCTGACTACAGTAAGCTAGCTGCCTGCGTGCAGCGTGTGGGTCCCGGTGCAAATGGCGCAATCCCTACAGCCACTACAATGCCATGAGAGCTCGTCCACCTCTGAGTGTGTACGTCGGCGCAGCTGGTTTTAGGGCCCTATTAATGCCTTATGAGCCGTTTTTCGACCGGCTGCGTTCCTTCTGCTATCCCTGAAAGTCACAAATTCATCCCAAGAAGAAATCGCATGAATCAATTTTTTCGTGAACTGTGCCTTTAATATTCGTATAAGTGAAATCCCAAAAATGATACCTTAGCGAGCATTATTCAGAAGCAATTGATGTCTACTTCCAAGAAAACATCCTAATTCTGCAGGCAAAAAAAAGTATTTGTCCGCTTCTTGGTTTACGATGATCGCGCTCTTGGTGACGAGACGGGCGTTGCACTTCGGCCACCTGAAGGTGAGGTTAGATGTCTAAATGTAACGTCAAATTGCCTTTATTTCTTGTAAATATAGGCTAAATTCTTGTTACAGAAAATTGCGTTACAGAAAATACAACAGATAAAGTGTTTGGGTGTCAATCAATCCTGTTTGTGGGATGCGCCCTCGCATTTGAGTTTCATTCAGAATTTTAATGGTGTAGTGAATACGTATGTGACCTATACGATGACTTGTGGTGGCCAGCCAATGTATAAGCCATTGATTTTATCCTTTCAGACGGATCTGTTACCAAATAACCGACCCCAGAGGAATGGAAGGGTTCGTTGGTTTAGGCGGATATCGATCCGGGCTTCGAACCCGTGACTATGGCATCGATCCAGGATTCAAACCTGTGACCATACGTGTATGACGTGTGCCCCTTGTCACTACACCACCTCCACCAAAATACAACAGCTTAAGCATGCATATTTGTGATCTCCTATAGAATCAGATATGCCCTTTGAGCTCGTCTAGATCTTCCTAGGACTAACTGCTTACATTGAAAGTTGTGATTGCAATGTTTTCAACTCTACATCTCCATGTGCGAGTCGCCCACTCTCCATCTATGGATACAGTCTTCAATAAAATTGGTTTGTGAAAATTTTTTCGAGATGGGGCGATGGCAACTTTGGTGACCACACTCAAAGTTGGTGTTTTAACGGCCTCGTAGAGACTGGACCATTGAAAAGAAGTACATTTGTTGAACATTTAAATAGTAATTAATCCACCGTATCCCTGACCCTCAGCGATAGGGGGAGTGAGCAGAACGGATAATGTCGCACTATTTACGCAAATGCACACGCCT